TTATGTGATAAAGAGTTTTTTATTGCCGTTTAATTTATTATGTTAAGAATAGATCTTAATACTTTTATGTCTTGGGTATTAGATTTTATAGGAATTGGTTCGTTATATCTGGCAGTATACGGGCTTTTTTATGTGGATCTAAGGTTTAGTAGCCTGTTACTTAGGTTTGGTTCGTTGTTAGATTAATATTCTTGGGTTACAACAGTTGGATTATTGTAGTTTTTAAATTTATTTGGTTTTTATAGTATGTTTTGTGTTTGTCAACCGTAAACTAAAAGGTTTGGTTTATATCTCGTAGATTTTTTAATAAATTCGGGTTTACTTATGATGATAATAATAAATATCACATTTATCTACTTTACATGTATCTATTTATTCTCTTAATAGTTGTGATAAATTTTTTTGTGTTCTTTATACGAGGTTTTTTTTGGTTTCTAATAGTATTAAAACGATAAATTGCTTTAAAAATTATGTAATTTGATTGGTTAATTGTCACAGGTAATCACGGGTAGATCTACAAAAATTAACCAATTATATGAATGTCTGCCCATGACATGTATACATTGTCCATCACTAGCCGAAATTATTTCAGCTGCCGAAATTATTTTCGGCAGCCGTAATTATTTTCGGCAGCCGAAATTATTTTAGGCAGCCGTAATTGTTTTAGGCAGCCGTAATTATTTTCGGCAGCCGTAATTATTTTAGGCAGCCGTAATTATTTTAGGCAGCCGTAATTATTTACGGCTGCCGAAAATAATTTCGGCATTTAGGCATTTCGAAGCACCATGCCGAAAATATAAAAAATGCCGTAATGCCATAATGCCGTAAATCAGCCCGAATTTAGGCACCAATGTATATATATGTTAATATATAAAATGTTAATATATAAATGTTAACATATAAATATTAACATATAAAAAATTAAAGTTTAAAAATTTAATGTATAAAAAATTAACGTTTAAAAATTTAATGTATAAAAAAAATAATACCAAATAACTGAAGTTATTTAGTAGTCCCGATCATAGTAGGGTGCCGGATAATAACTCTTATCTGACAAACTCTTATGATCATGAATGTATTTTTTTTTCATTTGTTACGAAATATTCACATTAACTCGAATTAAAACTCAGCCGATGACTCCCTACCAATCATGATCATAAATTGTCGGATAACACCATTATTCGGCAAATTTTTGAATAACAGTAATTTGGCTCAACTGGGCAAATGATTGGCTGACACGTGCCGCGAAGCGGCACGTGTTCATTTGCCCGGTTGAACAAAATTACCGTTATTCAAAAATTTTTGCCCAATAATGTATACATAAGTGTCTGATATTTAAAAAATATTACATATAGGGGCCCAAATTATCGATAGTTGAAAAAACGTGACTACCGCGCTACAAAAGTAGCGAACTAAAATTATCAAATTGCCGAATGTATTCGTTATAAGAGGATAAAGGATAAATAAAGCATTGGTTATAATTATTTTCGCAATAATATTTATTAAAAAATTTAAACTTTACATTGGATATAAAAATTAAGCGTCTATGCATGTTGCCTCAAACTAAAGAACTAATTTTTATTTTTTCAATGTATGCCTTTGACTATAAGTACGTACGTTATGCCCTTTTTCGGCACATTTACCACAGGTAAGTTGGTCTTCTGGTGCTGTCTCTCCACGGCTACGTAAACGAATTTTTCGTGGTCGTCCTGCTTATTTGATCATGGCTGGTGGCAACGTTTTGTTATCAAAAAAAACACGTTTCCACATCAACAGGTTGGACAGACTCTTTATAAACATTTTGAAGAGTTGTGATGTGATATGTAGTATGAACAAATTGTGAAGGCTGTTTACATGTCTTAAGAATAGCTGCACATGCGTGTATACAGGGAAGCCCATACTCTTGAAATTGTTTACAGGTGCAAGTTAATAAGGTAAGATCCACAATACGAAAACTACCGTTATTGCTCTTAACCTCAAAAACAGACTCATTGACTTGATACACTATTCTGCTACGGCATTTGTTGATAACAGATTAAAGTTGCTGAGTAGTTGAAGATGGCAACATTGCTTGGATTGAAGAATATGTTGTGCGACAATTGTAATAAAGCATATTAACCCTGCGCACAAATAAAATGATTGCGTCGAATGGTTCTACAAGACGTTCATCACATAACCAAGAATTTAAAGACTCAGATATATTAGAAGTAAGATGGCTGAATCTACTTCGAGGACATTTGCTAAGGGTCCATGTTGCGGAAGGTATTTCACTAAGATAAATAGATGCCTCCTCATGTAAATCAGAAATTTCTTCCATTATTTTGTTAAATTCTTCTACATGTAATGCTTTAGCCGCAGCCCAGATTTTACCTCCAAGCTTTGTTTTGAATTTTGTGTTAACATTTTTTTCGATGTGCCACACACAATATGCGTGAAAAGCATTAGGAAGTTTTGTTTGTACGGCATCCGAAATACTCTATATGTAAATAATTACAAATATTGATAATTACTGTAACAGTAATATTATTATATCGAAGTATTGAATATTAAAATACTAATATACCTTTTCATGGTCACTTATAATTATAGTCTTAATCTTATTCATTAATGGAAAAGCCATACACAAATGCTCACAAAACCACGTCCAGTTGTCAGAATTTTTAACAGAACAAATAGCGAATGCTATAGGAACAAGCTTGCCCTCACCATCAATCGCACTTACACTAAAATACACACCCTTGTAACTTGACTTTGAGTGACAAGCATCAAATGTAAACACAGGCTGGCAATGTTCAGCTGCTTTAATCCACGGCCATACGCATAGAAATGCACGAGTAAATCGGTTTTCACCATCTACCTCAAATGCAGTAACACTTTCTGGATTCTCAATCAGCAGATTGTCAAGTAGTGAATTTATACGTTGGTAACTCTTTTCTATTTCTTCTGCGCCACATTTTTTATTAATAGCTCGACTTCTCCAAGCTTTCATATATGATGCCTCAACACCCACTTCTGTGCGAAGACAATTCACAATATCACGAGGTTTAAGTGCTGTTATATCCTCAACCAATGGTGCAGCGAACTTCGTAAGATATGACCCACGTACTTTGAACGTTTCTGAAAAGTTGGGCAATTTTGATCATATTGAATTAATCTTATAATATGAATATAACCATCTTTATGTTTGTTGGCAGAGACCGTAAAAGAACAAGTGCTGACTTCATCTACTTCATACAAGGGACAAACAACAAGTAGTTTGTTGGAGTTATTAGTCCTAAACTTATAAGGCAAAGATGTTTCAACCGAGTAGTTCTCTAGAGCTGAGCGAACGCTTTCCATATCAGGAAATTTTATACCGATTTGCAGTATTGTAATTGACATTATTGTTATAGATCAGGTTTGTTATAAAATAGGTAATATTAACAAAGCGAATAAAATTTATTAAAAAAGAAAAAAGATGAAAAGCCCATTTTTTCTCTCATTTATAATTACATACTAATTTACAATCGATGATTACATTTCTTATGCTATGCTTATTAATGATTTAAAATTACGTACTAATTTATAATTGATGATTACATTTCTTATGCTATGCTTACATTTCTTATGCAACGTACTTAATTAATGACAATCAAGCCACAGGCTTGAGTCACGGTACATTCTTGGGCCCCTATATGTAATATTTTTTAAATATCAGGCACTTATATGTAATTATTTTTAGTCCAGTCACTTATTTGTAATTATTTTCACTTTCCGAGCACCTATATGTAAATTCCCCTTATTTTATTCTAAGAATTTTAACACATAAATGGACTTAAATTACAAGAAAATTTTGGGGTCGGACGCACCAGAAAGTTGGCGATGAATTTACAAACACAAGCTAAATTCTAAAAAAATCTATTTGTGACACTTTGTAATAACAATAAATACTGTACCAGTACCTTAAAATTTAAGCTTAATCTGATTATCATAATTATAAATCTTTTAACACAGGAAACTATGAGTACAACATCAGAAACACATGAAATTGATTCGAACTTAGATATTATTAAAAACACTCTAGGTGTAATTGGAGCTATCAGAGACGCAGCACAACCATACTTGCCTCTAATTTCAACTGTGACAACTATTATTGCAGAAATATTTAACATTTATGAGAATGTTCAATATAATAAAAATATTTGTATCTCTTTGATGGACTGAGTCACCGTTGCAGAGGCAGCTATTAAAACTTTAGAAAGAAGGAAAAAAAATTATAAAAAAAATTTCCGTGATATCAATTACTATAAAACCTTTTTAAAATTCATTGATGTGATGGAAAGGATAAAACAATTCATTAAAGATGTATCAACCCTATCTGGGTTTAAAAGGTTAATGTACATTAATTTAGTTAAAGAAAAGTTCGGATCACTTATTAAT